ATGGCTTACTTTTCTTGCTGGATAAAACCGAAGAACGATTGTGCGTTCCTCACCTAGAACCAATCAAGAGCTTAATCATTGGGGAATGTCATGATGCGGAAGGTCACTTTGGTTTTAAGAAGACGTATGCTGATGTGCGAGAACGTTTTGAGTGGAAAGGAATGAAGGAAGATGTACTAACGTATGTGCGGACTTGTCTTGTCTGTCAGAGGAACAAACCCTCACATGAGAATCCGATGGGATTATTATGACCACTGCCTATTCCAAGTGAGCCAGGTGAGAGACAAAACGACAATGGTAATCGTCGATAGATTCTCTAAGTATGCTATGTTCATTCCTTTGCCCACTGAAGCTAGAACCGAACTAGTCATACAAAAGTTTCAAATGCGATAGGTCTCTGAGTATGGATTTCCGAAAACCATCGTATCAGATAGAGATATTCGGTTCACCAGTCTACAATGGCAAAAGTTGATGGAAGTCTATGGAACCAGGTTGACCATGTCGTCAGGTAGACATCCTGAAACAAATGGCCAAACTGAGCAAATGAATCGTCTCTATCAACAACTTTTGCGAATGTATATCCGTCCAGATCAGATTGACTGGGATGAGAACTTGCCTAAAATTGTCAGTGCATATAACAACAATATACATACTGTCACAGGTAGAACACCTAACGCACTTCACAAAGGTTGGAAGCCTGAACATCCCATTGATGCTTTGACAAGGGACCAGATTCAGAGGTTACCCCCAGGTATGCGTGAATTTGCAGTTATGTATGAAGAAGACATTAAGAAGGTAAAGGAAAACATACAAGAAGCCCAGTTGCAAATAATTGAACACGCTCATAAACATCGTCGTCCTTCACAATTCCAAGAAGGGGACTTTGTTTGGGTAAAGTCCAAAGAATTTTCCTTGGAAGAGAACGTGTCTCAGAAACTGCTACCTTTCAACTATGGGCCCTCAAAAGTTCTCAAAGTAATTGGAGGAGAAGATGGACCTTCCTATCTTGTAGATATACCTCCACACCTCAGGACATACCCTGTCTTCCATGTGTCTAAACTGCTACCTTATGTAGAAACTGATGATTTTCCAAATAGGCCATCTATGATTCCACCGTCTATGAATGGACGCTATGAAGTTGAGAAAATATTGGAGCATGGCTATTTCTCTACAGGTGGCAGAGGACGACCTCAGAAGCAGTACAGGGTAGCGTTCAAGTCCCAACCCATCTGAAGCTAGATGGTTTAGTAGGAAAGAACTTCTACCCACTGCTCCGGATATTGTTGCTGCATATGAACGTCGGTTAACTGGGAATTGATGTAATTTCTGCGATGGAACTCGAAAACTGAGACGGCAGGAATGCAATAACCCATGCCATATGTCTCGTGGAACTGAGGGTCATCATAAGGCCTACTTGGCCGCCCTCAGCCTAGGCCGAACCAAGGCAGAAAAGGCCCTTCACAAATTCAGGGCCTGGGCGTGTGACAATTGACTTTGGTCAACTGTCGGTCCACCCAACAGTCAAAGTCCAAAGGTACCTAGTCCAGGCCGCAGGTCAAGCACACACACTTGTTTGTACGCAGGTACCCAGACAACATCAGGTCCAAGGGAGAAGTTTGCAACTGTACAATCCGGGCCTTCAGCTGTGAGTCAATCTGGATGACTGAGGGGAAATGCACCGAGGCCAGACAGCCTCACAGACTACTACTTAAGGCTGGCCTCTAGGAAGTCAAGGCATTCAGTCTTGCTATGCTGCTTTGACGCTAGCTCGACTTTGGCTAGACTCTGGCTACATGTTGGTTGTGCACAGGCACTGCGGGCAACAGCACGAGGTGGAGGCAGCATGCTGGCGTTTTCTTAGTGAGCCAGGCTATGCTGACGTGGCATGCTGACGTGGCATGCTGACTTGGCGTTGCCTCTGGTATATGTGGCGCTGCCTCTGGTCGACATGGCATGCTGACGTGACGCTGCCTCTGGTATATGTGGCGCTGCCTCTGGTCGACGTGGCATGATGATGTAGCGCTGCCTCTCGTATATGTGGCGCTGCCTCTGGTTGATGTGGCATGCTGACTTGGCGCTGGCTATGGTATGTGTGGCGCTGCCCCTGGTATATGTTACATGCCCAGTTGGGCGAGGTACATAATAACCGAGGATCCGCAATGTGATAAAAAGGACTGAATGGACAATGCGGTGCAAGTAGAATCTCAACAAGCAATGTACATTCTGATACATACAAAATGGTGCTGAATAGTGCAGGGAAGACTTAGATACAAATCCTGACCTGAGCGGGACTGACCTCATTCACGTAGTACAAGATAGCGAAGCAGAATGCTAAAATGCTAATGACTAGCCCAATCAATGTTTAAACACAGACCAAACATACATCGTGTCCATCACAAGGTGTGAAGGAGCCTGGCGCTGTACACAGGAAGGAAGCGCCAGGTCCAGACATACACAGACGAAGAGGAGGGGATCGGACGAACAAGAGGGGGAGAGATGGGAATGTCGGTAACACCAAGTCTTTGTCACAAGTCCCAAATAATCCCTCGTTAAAATGTCTGAAGCCCAAACAATGTCACCAAGCTCTCTCTCTCTCTTTCTCTCGTAGTCTGCTGATGCAATGACGTAAGGTAATGAGAGGGTGAGAGGGAGATGGTGGACTGAGAAGAGGAAGAAGAAGAACTCTCTCTCTGTCACGAGCCATGTACTAACTTGTGAAGTTGGCGTTGTGCTGCAGGTACCTCAAAGACGGAGCTGGAGCAACGACGCTTCAGGTAAGTAACCCTGGCCTCCGCCCAATCTCTCTCTCTCTCTAGTGCTATCCTAGCTATGGCGCCCAGCGCTGAAGACTACAGCTACCTACTGGCGCCCAGCGCTGAAGACTAATGCTAACGCTAGTACTACTCCTGCAGCGCTCCCTCCAGAGTGCTGCTGCCGAATCCTGAAGACTATTGACTGCCTCCTCCTACCCATGAAGTGCATGGGAAGTCCCTATGTACTATCTCGGCCTGCCTCTTGACTGCCTCCGACTTCCTGCAGTTGTAGGGCGGGCAGTCCAGGAGGCTGCTCTTGCCAATGCCAAACTGAGCCAGGGGTTGGCGCTACAACTGTCGTGGGAACATGCCAAAAATAGCCTGTTCCTAAAACCCTGATTCGGTGCCTGAGTTTCAGGGCAGGCCGGTCTGATGACAGGCCGGGAATGGCCCTTCGTTTCAGGCTAAAAAGGCTACTGCCATTTTTAGTCTGAAATGACACAGGGTCTGTAGGCCCCTGTATTCCAGGCTTTCGAGTTGAATGGTCACGGGGCCTGTAGGCCCTGGTTTTCAGGCTTTCAACCTGAATTTCAAGGTTTCGGCCTCCTTATGAAGTCAAGCCGGGGCGAGGGCGAAGCCACCGATCTGAAGGTGGAACCTGGACGCGCGCGTGACGTGGAGCCGAAGAGACCGGCTTGCCTTGCATCTTGTGTTCGTAGCGTGCGACAACGTCTGAAGCTGTTGCTTGAAGTTCCTCACGGGTCAACCAACGGTCAGCTCGGTGTGTGCAGTATGCAAAATGCACCAAATACTTGGTTGGCCTGTTGCCTTAGCGTCGCTGGGAGATGATGTCGCCAACCTCCTGAAAACCGTCCATAGAGGGTGGGTCTTGCGAACGTCTCCCGGGAAAATCGTCATGTTCCGCTGTCGTGTAAAAAGCCAACTTGGAGCAATGAAAGACTGGGTAGATGGGCAAGTGGGCCGGTACCTGAATCGTGAACGAAGGTCCCTCGAGTGCGTCTCCAACGGGTGCTACGATCGACCAAGGCCCCATCCATTTTGGGAGGAGCTTGCGAGAGATATCTTGTTCAAGGCTAAATTCCGCGGCGGAGACCCAAACGAGATCGCCGGCGCGGAATGGGCAAGGAAGACGCTGGCGATTGGCCTGCTGGCTCATGCGTTGCTGTGTCTTGGCCATCTGGTCACGTGCCTTGACAAGTAGCTCTTGCATCCGACGACAGAAAAGAAGATGGTCGTCGCTCTTGGCCGTTCGTGGAGTGATGGTGTCCAACGGCGAAGTGACCAGGGAGCCGTGCTCGAACTCGAAAGGCGATATCCCGATAGCCGGGTGTATGGAAGAGTTGTAGGCCAACTGGACATCCGGCAGCCGCTCAACGCAGTCCTTCTGATCAGGACGGATAAGAGTGCGAAGGATAACCTGTGCGGTCTGGTGCGTCCTCTCCGTTTGGCCATCGGTCTGAGGGTGGCGAGCTGAACTGGGCTTGAGAGATGAGCCCCATCGCTTGATGAGCGCCAACCAAAAATCGGACAGGAATCGAATGTCGCGAGCACAGACGATTTCCTTGGGGTAACCCTTGGTTCGAATGCAACCCGCGTAGAGAACCTCGGCCAACTCCGGTGCCTTGGCATGATAGTGACAAGGCAAAAAATGGCGAACTTGGTGAGTCGGTCGACCACCGTGAGAATCCCATCCACTCCGGTCTTGTGCTTGGGGAATGGGCCAAAATGCCCGTACCGCGTCTTGAACGCGGATTTGTAGCAATCATTCGGCCGGATCGAGATTTGATGATATCCCGATTTCAACTCCAACTTAGAAAAATACTTTGCGCCGCCCAATCGCTCAAGAAGATCGTCGATGCGAGGAAGAGGCCCCGCATTCTTGACGGTTTGCACGTTGAGCTTGCGGTAGTCGATGCATAAACGTAGATCCTTGTTCTTCTTTAGGACGAAGAGAACTGGTGCTCCATATGGGGAGCTACTAGGGCGGATACAGCCCTTGGCCAACAAGTCGTCCAGTTGTACGTGGAGGACCTCAAGCTCCTCCTCGCTCATCCGATAGATGCAACCTTTAGGCGGCACAACACCGGCCTCAAGAATGATCTCGTGAGAGATCGGCCGATCCGGCACCACACCGGTAGGTGACTCGAAGATGTCGGCGAACTCGTCCAGCAACCACACCACCCGGGGGTCCGAAGACAAGTCCGTGGGTGAAGAGTCGGCTACCGCGACGGTCCGTAGGAAACATAGGCTGATCTCCTCAGGCTGATCGTAAGCGCAAGTCGCCCGGAATGATTTGGTCGTCACCACTTGGCACCGAATCGAAGGGTGTGCGGTAGAGGAATAGTACACGCCACTTCGGCACCGAAGGCATCGCGAACGCTAAGAGTCCGTCGGTGGAAGTTAATCGTGTGATCCGCACTTGCAAACCAAGGCATTCCCAGAATGATGTCAAAGTCCGTGTCCAAAATGTCAAACGTCACCGGTTCGCATGCATGAGGTGCGAAATACACCGGTACGACCTCGATGTAACGGTCGAGAAGTTGCTGCATCTTTCCATCCGCCAACTTGATCGCCGTCGGGTTTGGCTTCCTCCGAACTTGTGCGCCAAGGCCAGCCCTTTGCATAAAGGCTTGGCTCATGAAATTGCGAGACGCGCCGCTATCCAGCAAAACGTTGCAGGACGCTTGCCCAACCTGGATGCGAACATACATGAGCGGTGCGTTGTTGTCATCGTACCGCTGCGTGTGAAACTTGCGGGCCACCTTGGTAACATACGCAAGGATGTCCCCCACCGCGACTTCGTCATCCGTCGGCGAAGTTGGTGGTGCATAGAAGGATAAGTACATGTGGAGATGAGCGCATAGTGCTGCGCATTGCGGTCCCGGTAGGCGGTCCGTGGTCGGGAGAGGAAGCCATGCAAAGTCCTCGGACGTGAGCGGGTCCAATACCTCTATGTTGAACTCGCGCGCCGAATCCCGTGACGAACCACTTGAAGACGATAAGTCGCCGCTGCCGGACGGAGAAGATGCCGCACACACGTCTTGTCCTTGAGCTTGTGTACCCAGCGTAGGAACTAGCCGGGCAGCATAGTCCTCAAAAGAATATAGAAGAGGACTATCGACTTCCGCATGTGCCTTGGAACGAAGGGCAGCGTCGAGTGTCGTCGAGTCACTCTAGGCAGTGCTTAGTTTCTCGATTTGCCCTTGCCTTTCAATGGGCAGGCCAGCGTCTCATGGAGATCGCTGTTGCGCCATAGGCAATAGTTGAATCTCGTGCGTGCTTTGAATGCTTGCTCGGAGATGTCGTATTGGGATCATGGGGCTTGAGCTGCTGCGTCGGGCCCGGGGCTAGATGCGGTGTTTGTCTTTGTCTTACCGCGTCCTCAGCCTTTGCCGGGGCGGCCACCTTCCCGGGCGGCTGCGAGTCTGTCCCCTTCATTGGCAGACACGGCCTCGCTAGATTGGTCAAACGGCGTTGCCGTCGCGACCACGGCCACTCTTGGCCGATGCTGGTCTCTGATCGGGCCTGGCGCAGACGAACGCAGGTTCTTGGCCTCCTTGTTCGTGATAATGATCTGCGCGACCTTGTCAAAGAGTTCCGCCGTTGTCGTCAAGGTGTCCTCAACGTGAGTGAGGGCATTGCTTAATGTCGGACATGACCTTGAGATGAAATAGTGGAGGATGGCTTTGAAGCCCGTCTGGATGTCTGGGACTGATGTCAAGTGTTGGTACTCGGCAATCCAGTCGACACTCGGCAGCGTGTCTTGTTCGAAGACCATTAGCTTGTCCATTGCCTTGATCTCCGATGGCTCTACTTGGAACCGCTTATGCCACGCCACCTTCAAATCATCCCACCTGATCTTGGTGTGCAAGTCGGCAGCTACCACTCCGTACTTGGACAAGAGATTGTCCAACCATGCTTGGCATGCGCCCCCCGACCGGGAGTATAAGTACGCGTGGTGCTTGTGTTCTTTGACGTAGTGTAGCTGCAACGTGAGCTCGAACTTGTGGAACCATGGAATCGGATCTGTCTTCATCGAGTCGCAGAAGAACTTTGGAGCTATCTCACGCGGTTCCGAACTTGAGTTGTTGGCGGTAGTACAGATCCGTTGTTCCAACTGTTGCGTTGCGGTCTGCTGTAACTGCACGGCATCCTTGAGGGAGTCGATGTCCATCTCCAATGCTTCGAGGCGATCAGAGGTGTTGGAAGAGCTTGCATAAGGGGCGGCGACAGGTCGCTGCTCCAGCTGCCGGAGGCGGCTGTGGACTTGAGTCAGCGCGTCGTCGAGGCTATGGATGTCCTCCTGCTGTGTAAAACATGTCGCCAGGAGGTCTGTGAGATGGGAGAGGAGTAGAGCGATYTTATTTTCGCTATCCTCCATCTTGCCATTATCGGCCTCGGTCCGCCACTCCGCTGCCATTGTGAGCAAAGTTTGCTCTCCGCTAAATATCTTCTCCCGCCATTGAACTCGTTCTTCATCATCAGCCTTTGCTGCTACCTCGTCGTGCTGGCGCTGCTGTTCAAGTGCCAGTAGACGTGCCTGCTCGGCGTCCTCTGCCTTCTTCTTCGCTGCTGTTGCTGCGTCATCCGCCCGTCTCTTGGTTTCGGTACTCCAGGCCAGCATCCGGGCCTGATAGGCCTCGTCTGTCTCACCGGACCTCTGGTCCATGACGGCTGTTTGTGAACGCAACAGCATAGACCAGGCCGGGGGCCTGCTGCTGACGTGGCACTGCTGTCGGCTAACGTGGCCTGCAGACATAGCAACTTACCAATGTCGCCGCAGGGGGTACCCGGAGACACATAGAGAAGGTAAGGCCAGAGGGGGCAACAACATAGGTGGGGAGGGTGGGTGGGAAGAATCGCCCAGATAAGGAGCCACTAATCAAGAAAGAAAAGTTTGAACTTTGCAAAAAAAAAATTCAAAATAATAAAAATCACGAGTTTTGCAAGTTCAGCAGGTTTCCCAACCTCCCTTGAAGTGCGAAATGATCAATGAGAAAAAATTTCGACTTCAGACTGCAAATGATTATAGAACTGTGACTAACAGAATCCTAGAACTGCGAAAAAAAGAAAAAAAAATTCCGAAAAGAAATTGTGAGGAACGAGCCCTCAAGTGGCCCTATCAGACATCACATTGTTCCGGGCTAAGACCCCAGCAAGCCAAGTGCCCGCCCTAAGTGAAGGCGGGCCTGAATATTCGTCACAGGCCAAATTCGACATTTCCATATGTGGGTATTCAGGCTCTGGCAGCGYSTCAGTTGGTTGAGTGAACGCGCGAGCCTCACTAAGCTGCGTCGTACARTTGGCCYAGGCCACGAAAGTTGTGCCTGGGCATATACACACAAAGCAGGGCCGATACATTGAGAAGCAGGCCGTCRGCCTTTGGGAAAAGCAGTACCGCTGACGCATCTATCCGGGGCCCCTACACAGATACAGCCAACAGCCAGGCCGTGCTCAACTGAAAAGGGCCCAGGCCCTCAACTGTAAGTCTCGGGCCTGGGCACAGGGTCTRGGGCCCAACCGGAAGCTTCTGGAAGCTTCCAGCCAGGCCACACGCAGCATCCAAGAGGCTGACAMTTCCATAAATGAAGTGAAGCAGCCCAGACCAGGGAGACTGGCCAGCGCTGGCAATGCGGAAGTGCTGCTGCGCTTCTGCTTGATGCTGTGCTAATGCCAGGGGCGCTGACGGAGCGCTAGGTGGTGAGAGGGGYGCTGCAGGGCGGSGGGGCGCAGGCGGCCATAGCCGGGCTGCTAGGCGCCAGGGGGTRCAGCGGATGATCGGGTGGTCTTCAGGGAGTGAGGCGCTGYGTGGGATAATCAAGGTCTGATTGAGGGTGACGAGATACGTACCTGGTACATGAAGAGAGGTCGCCGATGGTGTTGACAGTCATGTACATTGGTCTTCGTGAGCCGAAGTGATCTTGTTGTGTGAACCAGCTGTAGAGTAGGATAGTGTGGTAGAGCAGGCTGGGCGCTGTACGGCAGACAGAGAGAGCAACTCTGGATACTGTGTTGGTGTGGCCTACGGGCTTGGACATTGGCTCAATACTTCATTGTATTGCTTTTTATGGATGGTTTTCTTGGTGCATTTGTACTCTCTACTTGGGATACTACTACTTGCTCAGCTGTGTGATTTCGCAACTTGGTTTTATGTATATCGCTCACACTCATATTCCTTGCAATTTGGTATCGGAGCTTGTGATGATCGCCGCTGACCTGGCACCGGCGACACTGTGACTTGGTGCACTGACGATGCTTCATGTGCAGTGAGGATACTTTGCGCTGGTTTAATAGCGGGGCCTAGGTAGAGAGGCCGGCCGCTGGAAGGCTGTGGCGACAGCGTGGGAGCTGTGGCGACAGCGGGTGTATGCATGATGATGAGAGTATGCTGAAGTGGCATTTTGGCTGAGGTGGCACTACATTGCGTTGTGGGTGGTAACGAGGCTATTGACCGGTCATTGAAATGCACATCAGGCCAATTGGTGAGAAATCTGTGGTTCGGGGCAGCTATCTCCAGGTACGTTGTTCCCATTCCTTATCTACCCTCTGAATCTCTTCTTACCGTGAGGAAGTGAGTCCACCTTGAGTGTCCTCTCTTTGGTGAGGAGTCGTGTGCGCTCTATCTTGAGAGATGACATTCTTCCCGGTGGCGCATCCCGCAGGAGAGGGCGGTGTCTCTGAAGGGCCCTGGTCGAAGCACGGGTCACGGTCACCATGCCAACCCATGGGTATTAGTACACGCAGGCCATGCTGCTTTGTCCATTGAGGCTCTTTGCTGCGCTGATAGAAGGGGTGTGCGGACTGACCAGTCCTATTGAGACGCTCCCAGACCGTCTATAAACATTTCTGGTTGGGGTCTGAACTGTCCACTGGATGTGATCGTCGTCCTGTTTGCGACGTTAAATAATTCCTGAGGAGATGGGGGCTCTCCTTAAATCCTTCCTGATCAGCCAGATCAATCAGACGTAAGGCTCGTTGCACGCGAGGATAAACAAAGGGGCAGGCTGGTCATAAGCATACTTCTTGGGCACAGGGGTGGGCCGTGGTGGCACACCTTAGACACTGCAGCTTGATGATGCTCACAGGTACGTTGGATACAGGGGAAGGGGATTCCAATTGTGAACTCAACTGTGCATCACTGACACATCCATTGTGCATACATCTGCTCACACTAGTCTAAGTTTTATTTTTGATTAGTTGGTTGACCGACTGCTGACACCTAACAGACAGATTAGAATAGGACTGTAATCTACCATAGTCAGTTCTTCTCGAATCTTTTGTGCAGAGAATCAAAGTTAGACAATGTGTACAGTTTGTGTAGATGCTGTTGATGTCGCTTGACTAGTAGGCTAGGTAACTCGCTGGACATTTATTTTGTTTATTTTTGGATCAGGTCAGACGCATGTTGCGGTAGGTTCCAGCGAGGACAGTAGTGCAGACAACGTCTGCTTAACCTATGAGTGGATCAAAGGGTGGTGAAGGTACAGATGACGATAGGAGGATAACAAGGCTATCATCCCTTAGAATTCCTAGAGTGTTCCAGACCCTACAACCGGGAGAAGAGAGAAGGTTAAGGGCTGAAGCTCGGGGCCGTAATCTTGAGGCTGCAAGAGAAGCAGCAGCAGCTAGAGCTGTAGCAATGGCTACTTCCGCAGCATCTGCTGCGAACTCAACTGGTCAAGGGCTAGGCATGCCGACCAGTTCACAGTCAATCTCCAGTACGTCAGGGGTTGGCAATAGTCAAATGGCGGGCTCGCAGTTCAGCTCGCCGCCTCCACGCACCCGGGAGCAGATGGAGCTCCAGCAAGTAGAGAGGATCCGTTTAAGGTTAGAGGAGGAACTTAGACAGGCTACTAAAAGAGAGAAAGAGATCAAAGAAAGAAGTGTCAGATTAGAGGGCAGGGAGGCAGACGTGTCTGCGCTAGAGGCATTAGAGGACTCTGCACTTAACACTACAGTAAAGATCCTAAAGGCAAGTGTCCTATCCATGCATGCGTACATAGACAGTAAAATGGACGCAATGCAGGATACTCTAGACCAGATTCTGCAAGTGCTGCATAAGCCAGGGATCCGGCCAGCAGGTTTACCATTGTTGCCACTCTCAGCGATGACAGGCCTCTATGCAGCTCAATCAGGACCACCACCAAGTGTATCATCAACAGTAGCTCTATCTCAAACTGTTGCTTCCTCATCTTCTGGTCCAGCGACTGTTGCTACACCACAGTCGCCACCTGTCTCACAAAAGGGACAGCAATATCCTTGGTACCCCAAGACCCCACTGAACCCACCTGGAACCTTCTCAGGAGACAAGAAGGATGAGGCTCTCGACACATGGTTGAGAACGGTGCCAGTGTGGGTGAGGGCGAAAAGGACATTGGTAGAAGAGGAAGTGGTTATTGTTGCATCCTACTTAGAGGGTTCAGCAGCCCGCTGGTTAAATGGATTGGTGGCTTCAAAAGGCTTCGACAGGAACATGCATGATTGGGCGCAGACCCACACATTAGAATGCTTTATGGACTTAGTGGAGGCTCGTTGGCACAACTCTCAGCGGGCACAAATTGCCACTGATGGGCTCTTGAAACTTGATACTAGAAAGTACAAGTCTGTGCGGGAACTCACCACAGTCGTAGAGCGCCTGATCGTCGTCCCGGGAGTGGAGTACAATCCACAGGTCTTGCTGACCATGTTCCTGAGAGTAGTATCACACTTTTGAGTCATTCAGCAAGAAGGCCCTAGACTTAGAGGCTACGCTGGGTGGAGCTCAAACCCCTTCTACGGATGAAGAAGACTCCACAAGAGTGGAAGAAGAAGGGTAGTCAATTGATGATGGTTGATTCCGATGGGAATACAACCGAGATCGGCGATGTTTCCGATCTTGTGGAGGGTTCAGAGTTTGACGACGAGGAGAGTGCTGAGGGTAGCAACATCGCCGCCGTAGTTAAGACTAAGGCAGCTGGCCGCGGCAAGGGCGGTCAACAAAGGAGTCAGGGGCAGGCCGCTAACCCAAACAAAATAGCTGCTTGGGTTAGAGCAGATATGGATCAAGAAGTGTGGCGGGATCGTTGGTCTCGTGGTGCTTGCATTAACTGCGGTGAGTATTGTCGCACACAATTCAAATGCAAGAACCCGAAGGTCTCGCAGAAGATCCCTCCTAAGGGTGGGTTTCCTTCTTCTCAATCCGGGGCCTCTACGAGCTCCAGCTCGGGAAACACTTAGGGCCAGTAGAAGTTATAGCTGCTTCTACTCTCGTTGAAGCGGGTGGTGTACCCTCCCCGTTTCAAGAGATGGCCAAAGCTATTGACTCCTTAGTCACCTCGCAGACGTATCCGGACCCAACTATACTCTGTACATTGGATGTGTCTGAGGCCTTAGAGGACCTTCAAGGTGAGTGGTCGGCAAGGGACCCTCTTGAGTCCTGGGTGCCACGGAGTAGAGGTCCTATAGGGGAGCACTTCGTTGTGGAAGTTGATGTGGGTGGTCGCAAGTGTGGCGCCTTCGTAGACATTGGCTCCACTCGAAACTTCATAAGTCGCGACTGCGTTGACAGACTGTCCCTAAAGGACCGGGTGCAGCGCCTTAGTAGACCGGTAGCATCTACTTTGGCCAACAAAGAGCGCATGATGGTGGAGGACTACGTTAAAGATGTAGTCT